AAATGTATAGATACCTGGATGGATAAACTGACATTTTATAGAGGGAACTGAATTTGGAGCAAAATGTTGCTATTTATCTTTTAAGTGACTTTCCATATTCTCTGTTAAAAGACTTTGAGAATAAAAAAATACATATTGCATATCCTCTTGTCAGGTCAAGGGAATGAAATATCGAAGAGAAGAAAATACTTAGAAATGTTCATGTTGTGAAGAGAGAACACATGAGGTACGAACATTTTTTAATTTGAATCTCGACTCCGGGTCAGAGTTTTGGGCTGATAACTTTTTCTCTACACAATTCTCCTGCCTCACTCCTACAGTATTGTGCTAACATCCCCCCCGCCAGCCCTCTCATGCTAACAGCCTATAGGGCTATTGCCTCCTTATCCTCTTGCCAGCCCTCCTATGATCCAGGTCTAAAATGTGGAAGTTGGGATTGGTATAACAGGAGAGGGTTAGAGCTCTGATGGCTAGACGTGGCAAACTGTTTATTTCAGTGGAAGAGCCATGACATGGTTTGCCTAAATGAATCAAAACAAAAGCCCTCAAATAGCAACAAAATCAGTGCTATGCTCTGGTTATGTCTTGGCCACCATTCCGATAAAATTATGTAAAGTATGTGGGACCAGCACAGCACTCACCATGTGCTATCGTGGGTGCAACCTCTTAGAACCAAGTTCCCTGAGGCGTAACTAGAAACAACTGGGCCCTGGTACAAAAAATGCTTTGCCTCCCCCCTCCATGTGTCTGATTCCCCCCAACCCCTCAATGTGTCTCATTCTTCCCACCCATCTCCTCCATGTGTCACCTACTTCCCCTCTTGTACCTGCTCGCCTCCATGTACTGTGGCCCGAGATACCTGGTCTGACAGAAAGTGCTTGTTGCTCTCAGTGATCACTTCCTGTCAGATGGTGATTTGCTTGACCACACTACATCAAGTGACTGACAGGAGGGGGAGCACTATCCTGTGCGTTCCCTTCCTGCTGGTCACCTGGCTACTATGCCGGCTTACCGGTCTGGCCCTTTGCATCAGCAGGGGTCGACAGGG